CGACTGCATAAAAACCATGCTTATACTATTTCCCGCTCATAAATTGGTATTTATAAACACAGAATGTGTCACCTCACACATTCCTTTGACCGTGTGAACACGCTGTTTTCCAAAATGATCCAAGTCACAGTGAAGTGAAACTACGTGATAAGGCGAGACACGTGATTTAACCTGAAATAAAATAACAAACTTCATAGAGCTTCATTCATTATCACATTATAGGTTTTACTGTTTACATAGCAATAAAAATTTTGCATTCATAAACAGAAATAATTGTTTGTGCTCAATGTTTCCTTCAGCGTTGTTTAATGTCCTTTATATCTATTGTGAGTCATCCTGTAACTGTTTGATACTATATGAATATTTACTGATCACAGTGTTGGAGCCTCTGGAGCCTCATTAAGACTGTCTTGTCCCAATAAACGAAGTTCAGAGTGAAACAGGACTTTACATTAGAGTGATTGTACTAAAGTAAACTGGTGCAGGTTTTTACCTCCCATCTGTAAGAGCCTCAGTTTCACCATCGTCTTTCTTCTCTGTCTGATCACTTGTGGTGGAGACAGTGTTTTTATATAAACTGACGGATTAAGGGAGAGTCTTCATCTATTTATGGTTAATTGTGGGAGTGGAAATGAGGCTCATGCACATGTGACCAATTTCTCAGTGAGTGAGATTTATAAAGCAGAACCATGTGAATGATGGCTTTATAATTCTGATGAGAAGAATGTGTATGAATATTTCTGGTTTTGTGCGTACACATGGTTTTAGTCATGAATCTACACACAGTTTAATGCATCTGCCCTCAGGCTGGGTTCAGGATCTGGGGTCTTTTGACATACAGATGTTGGGTAACGCTGCTGGTGACATGAGAATTTTTGGTCCTAAAAACAAGTCTGTGGGCCAGAAACTTTTTAGAAACCTTCACATAAACTTCTTTTTATCCTGATTTCTACATTTCCATGCATTGGTAATGTGTTTACACATTTCAGCATGATGCTGCTCCCTCTGAAATATCTGCAGGGTTACAGACTCTGCATGTAGAGCTTGAAAAGTAAGTTTTCTGGTTTAGCAGTGAGACAGCTCTGAACTCCGAATGTGCTGATGCTGGGAGTCGGCCCAGTGACTGAGCTCTCCATCCAGAGAGAACTCTCAGATCTTCTTCCTCTCATCCCTGTGGTTTCCTTTGATATGAAGCTTCACACACTGGTTGGTAAACATGAGCGCAGTTTGCTGGTGTTGAGAACAGTAGCTGGCGCTGCTGTGCGGAGGCACCACATGAGAAGCTGACCCACATATCGCCTGGAACGTTCTGATGAGAACGCTCTTTGATCTCTGTCCTCTCCTCAGGCCACGGTCGGGCTGATCCGGAACCTGGCGCTGTGTCCGGCCAATCAAGCGCCGCTGAGGGAGGCGGGTGCTATTCCACGATTGGTCAACCTGCTGCTGAAGGCTCACCAGGACACGCAGAGACACGCCTCTTCAGCACAGCAGACATACCAGGTCTGGAGCACACACACACACACACAGTTGTTGTTCACCTGAACAAGTATTGTACCGGTTACAAGTACATCAGCCCCTCTTCTGATTGGCTCACCGATCTGTGTTACTAGAGCCCAGACAGAGAAGCCTGAGAGATGTTGAACTACACTGAGAGTCTTTGGTTCTTAAAACTACAAATATATCTTCTAATGCATCAACACTTCAAATAAAACACAGAAGAAGAGGAAAATATGGAGCTTTAAATTGCTTACTGTAGCACCTCCTTTTCAAGAGGGGGACATTAGGTCAGTCGTATAATTGATTGATTGGTGACCATATAAGGCTACATGCTCCTCTCCACTTTACAAAAATATTAACAAAGAATAACTAGAATCCACTCTTGGTGGCTGTCTGCCTCCTCCACTCAGACTAGTTCCAGGTCGCATCCCTGTTTATCCAGAGTCACAGAAAATATGAAACATTTGTGTGAAATTTGGTCATAATTGCTGTGAAGTCTTGATTAATGGCTAAAACTTGTTTTGTGTTCATCCTTGAGTCCCAGTGAACATTTGTGCCAAACTTGAAGGGATTCCCTTCAAGAGTTCTGGAGATATTGCGTTCACAAGGCCAAAAAAGTGTTTTGAGAGGTCACTGTGACCTTGAACTTTGACCTTAGACCACCATCTAATCAGTTCATCCTTGAGTCCCAGTGAATGTTTGGACCAAATCTGAAGAAGTTTTGTCAAGGTGTTGCTGATATATATTGTGTCCATGAGAATGGGACGTACAATCGGACAGACAACCTGAAAACAATTTGCCTGTGTGGCTCTGGCTGTATAAAAGAGAATAATTTCAAACTGCAGAGCTTCAGGTTCTGTTGTCGGAAACCAGCAGTTGAAAACGGAACACACACGCTGGTTAACAGTGTGAGCGGTGGTAAGAAGTTAGCTGGTTTATTTCTCCTTGACGTCTTCTCTGCTGCCGTCCTTCCTTCTCTGTTGTCAGGACGGAGTTCGTATGGAGGAAATAGTCGAGGGCTGCACAGGAGCTCTTCACATTCTGGCCAGAGACCCCATAAACAGAGGAGAGATCGCCAGCATGCAGACCATACCACTGTTTGTACAGGTACGCTCACCTGGGCAGGGGACCAGTCTACCATAGATTAAGGCTGAAGTCTAGAGGCCTCACTGTGTCAGAACATGTGTGCCAATATGTCCGTTTGTGTCAATTATTATTCTGAGCTTACAAAGACACAAAAGACACAGCAGGGAGATCAGTGTGGTGCGGCCGTTCAGAACACATAGAAACACATAAAGTAGTTTTGAAGTTCGCTGAGGCTTTACAAGCACAGCCAGACAAGGTGGACTTCTCACAGGCTGACCCAGTCTAAAGTTTAAAGCCTCCAGTTCCAGGGTACACCTGAAGGAAACCATGCATACACTGAGAGAACATGCAAACACCTCTGAAAAACAAACAAATACAACCAACCAAATCTAAACAGAGCATCAGCCTGACACCTCTAAGAATGAAGGCGTCTGGTTTGTTCAACAACCAAACTGTGGCTGCAGACAAGTAACCTGTACTGTGAGAAATCTATCCCAAACGCTAAGACCACAGGTCTGTGTGTGTGTGTGTGTGTGTGTGTGTGTGTGTGCGTGTGTGCGTGTGTGCGTGTCCAGCTGCTGTACTCCTACGTGGAGAACGTGAAGCGGGTGTCAGCGGGCGTCCTGTGTGAGCTGGCCCTGGACAAACAGTCTGCAGAGCTGATCGATGCAGAGGGAGCGTCAGCACCACTCATGGAGCTGCTGCACTCCAGCAACGAGGGGATTGGTACGTCACACATACGTACAGACCACATGACACAGAGATGGTTCGCACTCATCTTCATTGTATACATTATCAATAGAAAGATTTTAACACAGGTATCAACTTACCCGATCTGGAAACACCAAAAAAATACACAAAGAAATACATGACATTTCATGAGGTTTAAAACATAAGGATTATAATGGTTTCATCCATTATTTACTTTAACTTATGGGATTTAAAGTTCTGAAGGTTTTTGTACATAAAGAAGTAAATAATCTAGTAAATAATATATGTATATATATATATATATACATACATATATATAATAATGATATTAAACAACTTTCTCACATTAAAAAGAAGCTCTGAGCAAAGTGAAGCAACATTTCAGAGCTGGTTAAAGGCTGAGGGTTAAAAACACTCAGTGAGCTTAAAGTCAGTTATAGTGTAAGAAGAAGCTAAGAGTGGACTGATGTGCTCTCTCCTGTCCAGAGTTTTGAATGAGCAGTAATCAAGTCGGCTTGAAATGAAGGCATGAATCAATCTTTCAGCATTTTTTTGGTTTATAAAAGGCTGAAGTTTAGCTGTTTCTCAGATGGAAAAATGATGTTTGTGTCACCTTGTTGTTTTGGGACTTGAAGCTTAGATCTGAATCTAAGATAAAACCAAGACTTGTAACCTCAGATTTAATCCAGGGAGCGAGTTTCCCCAGGTTATTGAAGAGCATTTCTCTTTTTGTTTTGGGGCCGACTATTAGGATTTTCAGTTTTATCCTCATTTAACTTATTAAATTACTGCTCATCCATTTATTGATTGCAAGAAGACAGGTAGTAATGGTAGTAAGTGTACAGCTGCAGCATTATTTGGCATGCCGGTGGGTGAATCATGACTGCCACCTGCTGGTTCAATCATCAGATGATAAAACTGCACAGAATCATCATCTCACAATCAGATCATTCCATTTTACATGTTTAAACAGGCTGGAAAAAAATTACTATTATTAATACAGCAATTTAGTGACCAATACATCATATAACATATGGGTCAAAGTTCAACGCAGGAGGGCACTTTGAAAGAATCCCTCATGAGTCCTACCTGGTCTGTTTTCATGGTTTGGGTCCATTAGTTCCAGTGAAGAGAACTCTTAATGCGTAGTTATTATAGGCAGTGATGTTCTCCACCTTTGTGTGGGTAGTTTCCTCTTTCAACATGACACTGTCCCTGTGCACAAAGCAGCTCCATAAAGAAACTGCACAGAGCCCTGACTTCAGCTCCCTCCAACACCTCTGGGATGAACAGGAACACGGACTGTGAGCCGGACCTTATCACCCACCTCACACACCTCACTCATGTTGTTGTGTCTGAATGGGAGCAAATCCCTGCAGGCAGATTCACACATTCCCATCAGCATTTCAAAGGTCTGAAAGACACACACACATATACACACACACACACACACACACACACACACATATGCATACACTATAATGCAAGGAGGTGCACATACACACACACACACTTTGTCCCCTCTCTCTCTCTTTTCCTTCACTCTGCTCATACGTGCAGCCTTCTTCAGGCTTATGCATGTGAATATGACGTGCATGTCGTCCCCTTGGAATTATATGGTTCTATCTGCGTTCTGAGCAATTTTGAGATATTGAGCTTCAAAGTTTTTGCGTTCCAAATCGTAAAATAGGTCTCTTTCATGCATGAAAATGACAGACACCTTAAATATATTCTACATGTCCAATATCAAAACCCTATCAGATTACTAAAGGTTTTTTGGAACTTGTCAAATGCAGATAGAGCTGTGTAATCCTGAGAACTTGCTTTCTGCTTGATTTATAAGGTTCTGTCTCATCTTACATAACATGAGTGTTGTAATGGAGCATCTACATGTATCAGAAAGTTTAATTTTATGCGTTCAATGACATCATTATGTCATTTATTTCTTGTTTTATGATGAATAATTTTTTTTCTTATTCAAAAAAAGCATTGCAGATTAAGTACAAAGGTCAGTGCTAAATATTGTGTCCAGTGCAGAGGGCAGTTAGATGTAGGAGCCATTAGTTTATGTAAATGCAGCAGGTCAGTATAAAGGCAGTATTAGGTTTTGTTTTATACCAGCAATGTTGACTCTGATGATCTGTCTTATTTGGGGGAAAAAAAAAGATGGATGAAGGAATGAAATTAGCATCCGTGCAATTAAGACCCCATCAATTAAAATGTGGACTTTTTCATTACCTCTGAGGCATTAGGTGGTGTTATGTCCCATCTAGGGGTGGCCAGGACACAACATGAATACCACATCTTCCCCGAGTCCCAAGTAGCCACAAAAACAAATTGCTAAATTTATGAACGGGAGTCTTTATATACAGAGATGAGCAACTTATAACTTCACAGAGAAAAAGGAGAAAAAGTGTTCAGAAAGAAAACAGGCAGTCCACTCCTACTAGCTCTGTAAAATATTAAAGCACGAAGACGTATGGCGGTGACAAGTGTCGCCTATTGGGACTGGTGAAAGAAGTGGCTCTCCCCTTAGCTGCTTGGTCACGCCATCTTCCTCTTTAGATCTTGGTGGCCAGGACAGGAGCCAATCAGCTGCCACCGTGAAAGCTGCGCCCCAATCACGGGCTGGTCCCAGTACACATACATTTGCATATATTGACATCACGATCACGCCACCTGTCAATACACAAAGAGAATACATACAATGAAATTACACTATACGACTGCAGTTCTAACAGGGGGCTAGCGTGCTAGCATGCTAATGGAGAAAATAAACTCCTCAGCAAGATCTAAAACAATTGAAAAAACACTGAACTTGCTGTCCTTATTCTTATGAACCTCATGTTACAGGACATTTTCTCATCTCCACTGAGTTTTCTGTCTTGTCTGCCCCTTTTCTCGCCATCGCTGAACAGAGGCTGAACCTGATTGGTCGTCTTGTGTGCATTCTAAGTGCTGATTTGTTCAGAAGTAGAGCCTGATAAAACTGAGTTAGAATTCCAGTTTGTTTTCTCAATATGAAGTCCAAAAGTTCGTACAACTTCAAAAAAATATCTCACATAAGATCAATAGGTTGTCAAAATATGTGAACAGCCCAATTTTGACAGAAATGTCAGATCGAACCTTATAATTCCAAGGGCATGATTTTACACATCATGGAAATATCACCTATTATTGTTGATGTGACCCCATACATACCAGTGTGTTGGTGCAGGTTGATGTTGAGATAATATGTGTATGTTATGATTTGGAGCTAAATAAATTAAATTGAATATCACTCTGCTGCACATGTGAATGAATCTGGTCACTAAGAACTACAGTGACCAGCTGTTTCACAGATTTTAGTAGTCATTAACGGGCCTGAAGCAGAGAGCCACATGCAGTGTATGCAGGTCAGAAAGTGTTGAAAGATGGACTAACACTCTGTTGGTTTTGGGCTGAGGTCACAAGGTCAAAATAATCTCCTCTTAAACTCTTCTCCTCGACCTCGATGGAAAACGTCATCAAGGTCAAGGAGAGGTGTTAAGGAGAATTCTTAAGTACTTAGGAAAAGAATCTGACTGCACTTACATTAAGCTTTTTTTTTTTAAAACAAACTTTATTTATAACACAAGGACGATAAATCCTCCTTTCCTAACCACAAAAACAAAGTAAACAGGAATAAAATGTTGAAATAAGAAAACATGAGGGAAATATACAAATAGAAAAGGTTGAGCCATTAAAATAATAATTCAATAGAAATAAGGAGCTGAACAAGAGATCATATAAATTCTATTCAGACAGAAGTTTATAGTTTCCTGTCATAGGCACTTTGACATTTCTATACGTTTGTTAAGGAGAGAAAATTCATTTTTAGTGCTTTACTCAATGGGAGGGGATTTAGTGAAACAAAAGTTATGTATAGACTATAGTATTTAGTTATGACAATGATATTGTTAACTATAAATTCAACCTGCTTGTTCTTCATGACTCCTGACTGGATTTAAAGAGAATAAATCTATATTTATGGATTTTGGCTTCAGTCGATCAAACAAGGATTTCCATCAGTTCTGGATCGAGTCACAAACATAAAACAGCTGCTCTGATGTTTCTACATTTATGTGGCTCTGCTGTGGTTAAACTACAATGGTGCATCGCTTTAAATATTGCTGCAGCAAGGAATTGTGGGACAGCATTTCGCCTTTCCTTTGTTAAAGGAAGGTCCAGTGTTTCCTATGCTAAAGGAGATAAGATAGGAAGCACTGAAGCTCCTTTCCTTATCATGTAGAGAAGTAGAGCAGCTGTGATCATGGCTGCTGCTCAGAGACTTCTGCTCATTTTACCCAGAAAAAGACTTTTCATCTGCAGCCCTGGTCTTGAAGCCAAATGTAGAGCAACACGTTTGAAATTTGTGTTGATGTGGTGGCGTAGAGTAAATATCACTAGATATGACTTTTTCTTTGTGTGATTTTCACAAACCCAAACAGCTCAAATGGCTGCAGCTTTTCAATAAAATTTGCAGCAATTTTTGTGTATGTGTAATCAGTCGGACTTATCATGATGTGTTGCACTGTGTGAGTAAAGACCACACTTCCCCTGGACTATCTTTGACCAATTTACTGCCAAACATCAACAATGGCAGCTGTAATCATGGAGAAACAAAATAACTCCCAGGGTTGCTTTTACATAAACACTTTGCACCGTCCCAGGGGAGAGTCCATAGAGAAAACAGATATTTAAAGCATCGTAAAAGGATAAATGAAATGCAAATTACTTCATAAATTAAACATATTAAATACTTACAGAAAAACACAAATAAAATAGCCATTCATAAACCCACATACCTGCAGCTGTGAAGAAAACAAAACCTTCACAGAGATGCTCTTTCATAAACACTCTCTGCCCCTATGTAATATCATCAGATATATGTCACTAAATGCCCCATGCTGGTAAATATATTCTAAACGATACACACTAGTGTTGCAAACTGCACAGCCGCCCTGCCACACACACGCCTCTACAATCTTCTCCTCTAATTAGAAGATTATTGCATGAAAACAAACAAAAATACAGCTGCACAACATAACACTTCACACTTGTTTATGGTAACTTAACATCACATATACAGTGAAGAGGAAATGTACTTATTTATTTTATCTAAAATAAAACTAAACAATCAGACAAGACACGTAACACAGTGTTACACACAGTAGATCATCACACACACAATCACTCCATTGACACCTGCTATTAAAATGTGTCTCTTATGATTTGAACCTGATTACATTTACACCTGGTATTAATGCGTCTCCCATAGACATATACACGTAGACGCTGCATTGGCCGCTGGATCGTACGTCAACGTCGCCGCCACATTGGACCAGGTAAGACTGGCCTGTAAACAGGCGCAAGTAAACAGAGGAGCTTCAGTTTTTATGGATAAACAGCTCTATAACGTTTATATCTCTCAACTGATTTCAACAAGTCGTTTTTATATTCAACGATTGATGATCTACGTGGAGTAAAGATAAAAGTTTGGTCTCCAGTTACTTAGAATCCTGATGGTTTATTCTGTAATGACTGTTTTCCATAAGGAGGAGTGTGTATCAACGTATTTACTAAATTAAACTATTTATACTACATTTACTATTAACTCTTACTAATCAAATATTATGCTGCTACTATAATATTATAATATATTCATGTTACATCTCATTGTATTCAGGATATTAATAATAATAATAATACATTATACTGCTGTATTACACTGTTATATATAACTACATCTCACTTTATACTACATTACACTTATATTCCATATTACACTTTTTCTAGCATAGGGTTCAGCCTATTATGTAAATATGTCATCCGGTTTTAACACTTAAATTTCCCCTCTGGGATCAATAATGTTGTATCTCATCCTTTCACTGATAAAAACATAGAGAGAAGACTGACTGCCATAATGTCTTACTATCTTACTTCATTTTCTTTATTTCATTTATTTTACTCACTAGTTTTAACAATTCTTAATGACAATGAATTATTTTCCACTATGTCAGTAATTCAGTTCATGTAAACCTACCACTGATACACACTCCTCCTGATGGAAAGCAGTGATTACAGCCTAAACTATCACCATTCTAACTGGACATCAAAATTTTTATTTTTAATCCACATAGATCATAAATCCTTGAAATTAAATCAGTTGAGATATATAAACGTTATAGAGCTTTTATCCAGAAAAGCTGCAGCTCCTCCGTTTATTCCTTTTTGTTTACAGGGTCGTCTTGCCTGGTCCAATATGGCGGCGACGTTGACGTATTGCAGCAACGGGCTGAAGCTACCAACGCAGCGTCCATGTATATACATGTGTACGGTGTCTCCAGTGTCCACGTTGAAAAAAAGCAGCAAAACAACAAAAAAAAAAGATAGAGGAAGAATGGAAGAACGTGAAGCTGTGTTACTGTGTTTAACTGCTTTTCGAAGTGTGGGAAGAAACAATGCTTTGTGTGATGACTGACTAACGGCTGCTGCCTTACTGGTTTGGAACAGTTGGTTACATTCCACTGATGTAGTTGTTAGATGTGGATTGACAGAGCTATTGCATTTATACTTGTGTTCAATGTGGTCACAATGCATCCCTGACCACCTCCAGACGTGGTTTGGTCAACTGGATCACAATCCATCCTCAATGTGCATTTACACCTGTACCTTCATGTGGTCAGCTACTATCCGACTGCAGTCCGATCAACCGATCTCCTTTCAATGCCGGGTGTAAATGGAGTACATGTCAGCAGCAAGTGCATGAACAAAGTCACCTAATGGAGGAGGAGTGAAGCTTTTTTAAATTTTATACAAAAGACACAGATTTGAATATTATCTAAAATTCTCAAAGCCCAGAAGACGATGTTTCTCCACTAGTCTTCCGGCTTTGTATCTAGAATTTTTAATGCTCGTTAATACAAGGACTCAAGTGTTTTTCAACCTGTTTCACCTCCAGTGTAATAAAGTAGGACACAGCATGCAGAAATATCCTGTCTGCATCCATAGAAAGACAGTTTCTCATTTGCCTAAAACTCAACAATGGTTCAATTGGCGAGCATTCAACCAGTTGAACTAATTTGGTGAGCTGATCAGTAATGCTTCAGAGAGAACAATAGAGTGTGTTGTTTTTTTTACTGTCTGTTTATAAATGACTGATGTTGCCATCTGCCTGCAGCCACCTACGCTGCGGCGGTGCTCTTCAGAATTTCGGAGGACAAGAGTTCGGACTACAGGAAGAGAGTGTCAGTGGAGCTCACGCACTCGCTCTTCAAACACGACCCTGCTGCATGGGAAATGGTAAGAACCCTGCGTGTGTGTCTGAGTGCGGCTGATACCATAGATCTACAAAACCGCACTCGATAAAAGAGCAACCTTGTCTCAACGAGCTTCATCAGCCACAGACCAGTTTGCAACCAGCTGTTCCTTAGAAAAATCCTAGAAAAGCTGCTCCATGTGCAGTTTATTTTAACTCCAGTCTGGTTTCAGAGCAAGGCATAACACTAAAACTGCTCTGGTGAAGATTGGAAATGATCTCAAACTCAAATCAACAGAAAAAGACCTACTGTTCTTGGTTTTTGTGAAACTCAGTGTATCCTTTGATTCTGTAACGTTCACAGCATCCTCATTGGTAGGTTGGAAAAATGTGTGTGTGTGTGGGTGGTCTCAGCCACACCCCTAAACTGGTTTCAGTCCTACATAGATGGCTAGAGGAGGAAACATCAGAGAGACTCAGCCACATGTTTGAGCCTCAGTCAGACCCAGACTCAGATGAGGAGTCTGAGACCAGAACCAGAGACTAGCAGACGGATCAGATCCATTAGCATAGTTAGCATCTTTCATTTGTTTATATTATTTGTTAGCTTGTAACTGGCAGTGGCTGACACAGTGTTAGTGCTAATGTTAACTCTCTCTCTGTACTGTCAAGGTTTCAGGTCTATTTAGCCCCGCCCCCCCGTCCCCACAAGTTGACAGGATTGGTTCCTTAGGTTTGTGACGTATGAAACCCTGGCTGTCTGAATCTGTGTTTATGAGACTGTCATTGGTTCACTGCAGTTCAAGGTGGAGACACTCAGTCATGGTGTTGATGATTATTTCACCTATCATGTGTCTTGTAGCTTTTATATAAAAATATCATATGGATGTTAACAAGGTGAAACACTTAATTTTCATCAGAGGGTCTTTAAAACAAACTAAGTTGCTCCACCTTAAAGTGCGACTGGAATGGAATGAAATGAAATGAAACCAACCACAACAAAGAAACCCAAAGGGAGAAATCTATATTGTGTATGTTTTGGTTTCAGGACAGCGATGTTTTGCATCTGTACAGATAGGAGTGCTTGCTTCCAAGCTGATCAAATGGCTTCATTTTCAACTATATCATCATGAAGCAGTAGCATCAGCATTCTGTCATAGGCAGAGAGCAGCCTGCTACACAAGAGCTAGACTCTCAACAACAACCCACATTAGCTCTTCTGCTAAAGACTCATTCTTAGTTAACTTACAAGTGCTGGTCTCGCCCTGCAGCTTGTTGAAAGAGCGACCAAACAAACTGGGGAAAGGTCCACTGCTAACACCAGTTTGCAGGCTCGATAACTAATTAAGTAATCAGCTGTAGCATATTAAACGAGATCTAAACACACCTGCAAATATCACTTTGTTCCACTCAGGTGCTGGTGGGGTCCATATAGCACGGCTAATATTACACTGTCTGACTGTGGCTGATACGCTGAAGGTCAAGTTTGTTTACTTTGTCTCTGGTTCCCCTGCGGAGCTCAGCCTGCCAGCTGCTGTCAATCAAACAGTCTGCACACACTCCCACTCACTCACACTGGTGAAAACACCTGTGTGGGTGAAGCGCAGGTGTGTAGAGACTTTGATAACTTTTACTTCTGTGTTCTTTATTTGATAAATAAAGTGCTAAAAGTAAGAAGAGAAGGACAAAAACAAAAACTTTGGAAGAAGAAGAAAAGTTAAGAATGCAGCCTGTAGACAGAGATCTGTATCTGCACATCTGACACACTGTTCACACACACAACACACAAACACACACTCTTCTCTTTCTCTCAGAGCTCATCACAGCTCTCTCCCTGAATCTTTGTCTTGCTCCCAATAGGTTCTTTCTCTCTCACTCTCTTCACACACACACACACACACACACACACACACACACACACACACACACACACACACACACTGTCAAGCCAGAAATACACACATAAATGAATACAATTATGTTTCTTTGTCTAAATTATATAATAGTAATAATCTAAGGAGAACAAATATCCCGTAATGTTATTGGAAATAATTTTATGTGAAGTTGAGGAGGAGTTCAGGACTCTTCCTGTCAGAAGCCTATGACTATAAATGCCCTCAGACGTTCTGATATATATGTTAGTAATATGAAAGTATGTGAAAACTTTGGTACTCAAATTTGGGACGTCACATATACATTTATAGTTACACTGTTGCCCATGAAGTTGGAATAATTTTGTTTTCAGACACAAACCTCTGTTTATTCCTATTTAAATGCATCAGTAATCACTTTTGACCAGGTGCAGTGATTACATTATGTGTCCCGATTACCCAGGTGAAACATTTGTTTGGCGCTAAGAAATTATTTAAAAAAAAATTAATTCCAACTTTATGAGCAAGAGTGTATAAGTTTTGTTCCAACTTGAGGGGACGTTTACTTGAATTTCCCAGTCGAAGACTAATTTATCTGATTAGTTCTTACTTTCGATTAACTTCCCAATCAGCCAAGAACAGACAAGAACACCAGTTTCCAGCCCACACAGTCAGTTTCGGAGGTTTTTAAGGCAGAAAAGGTCCTTTCTCCTTCATCATAATTGCCCCCATTAGAGAATTAACAAAGGTCAATTCTCGTGGACTATGGCCAAGCATACCAAATTTCCAAGGCGCCTTATCATCCAACCCACAGACTGGAACAGAGCCCAGCTGCATGAATTCCACTTTTCTCCCTTTGGTAAGATCTAACCAGGATCCTCAGGAAATCTTTTGGGGGTCTGCCAGTTACAGAAGCAATGGTAGATCTTCTCGAAGGCTCCCACATCGGGCTGGGTGATCCGGCCAGAGCAGTACACTGCTGTGTGGGTTGTGTCCTTGTACTGTTGGATGCTGTGTCGTACGGTGTTGTTGCTGAGTCTCTCTCCGTCGTGGAGCCTGTGGGTTGTTGCAGATGTAGCAGATGGCTGTTTATGAGCCAGCAAGGGAAGACGCTTGGACTTTCTAAAGAACATTTTTCATATTGCTATTGATGAACCGCTATCATCGGTACATATCGCTGTCATTTGATCATACAGGCCTACGTCCACTTGCTGCAGCTGTCATCCTGCTCCACCATTCATCATTTCTGTCTGTCAGGTGCTGCTCATATATTTTCACATCTCATTTGATGGTGTGGTCCTTGATAGAGAACCGGAGATACGTTTATCTGAAGTTTAGGAGCAGGACGATACCTCCCTCATCTTCCTGTCCTATGTTTGCCCATTCATTCATTCTTGTTTTCTGTGCCCCCACCCACCTTCATTTCACTCTCTCCTTTCTCTCTGTCCTCTTTCATTTCTCCCAGGTTCCCCAGGGGGCCAATGGTAGATCCATCCCAGAGCTTTAACCTCACCCAGTCGTTCATATCCAACTGATACTGTCATCATTTTTAATAACCACTTCATTTGCAGCTTTTTGATGGTGGGGTCCTTGCTAATGAACAAGCCTATAAAGCAGTGACCCAGCACCAGTCTGTGCACTGCTCACCACTACAAAGATCTTATGAGGCAAAAAGAAGCAAAGTAGCAGAAACCTGTGACACAGTTCCCTGAGTTTTTTAATAGAAATAATAGACAGTTGTTTCGCTATGATTCAGCATTTTCAGTCACAAACTCTCAAAGTTCATAATTGTATATGTGTGTGTGTGTGTATCTCCACTGTCTCCCCTCTGATGCTACTTTATTGACCCATCTGCTTTAAGCAGAAACAACGTTGTCATAGCGATGTATGAAATCATTGATTATTGTGTTGGTCTCTGTCTCTGTGTTTGCTTCAGGCCCACACTGCAGTTCCTCTGGAGCCTACGTACCTGGCTGATGGTGAGTGCTTTGGTTTACAGGGATGTACTCCCCAAACACACCTTCAACACAAACACACACATATTTTCTGTCTGCTGTGGGGCTGTAGTTGTCATGGTCACACATAGGACACATGACAGGTGTAGTGATCGGTGACATTTCTTCAGTTAATTAAAAATTATTTATTGATTTATTAATTTATTATTATTTATTACAGCGTGGTTTCTGTTGTTGCTCTCAGCTAAAAATGAGGAGCGATTAAAGCTTTGTTACTGTTGGCATTTAGAATAATCAAGCTACTCTCTACTTCTGTTCCCAACACAACTGCTGCTTCGACGCTACTCTACACTCTGAAACACACACTAGATTCTGAAACACTCTACACTCTGAAACACACACTAGACTCTGAAACACACACTAGACTCTGAAACACTCTACACTCTGAAACACACACTAGACTCTGAAACACACACTAGACTCTGAAACACTCTACACTCTGAAACACACACTAGACTCTGAAACACACACTACACTCTGAAACACACACTAGATTCTGAAACACTCTACACTCTGAAACACACACTAGACTCTGAAACACACACTAGACTCTGAAACACTCTACACTCTGAAACACACACTAGACTCTGAAACACACTCTACACTCTGAAACACACACTAGACTCTGAAACACTTTACACTCTGAAACACACACTAGACTCTGAAACACACACTAGACTCTGAAACACACACTAGACTCTGAAACACACTCTAGACTCTGAAACACACACTAGACTATGAAACACTCTACACTCTGAAACACACACTAGACTCTGAAACACACACTAGACTATGAAACACACACTAGACTCTGAAACACACACTAGACTCTGAAACACACTCTAGTTTTGGTCCCCTCAGTGTTGTGCATCAAACACAGGCCCCCTGTGTCTTCCTTCCTCTCAGCCCTCACAACTTAACAATAGGCAGAAACACATCACACAGGCTCATTAGACAGACGTCCCAGAGGGAGAGAGAGTCGACACCAAACACTTCACACACAACAAACTCAACAACACAATGAAGCTGGACATCAGCATGCACAACAATCAGCCAGCGCTACACACATACAGAGAGATCAGGTTAGTATTCCTGTTGCACACACGAGGCAGGTGGGCTCCCTGCTGTAGACAGAATAGAGTTGTGCTCTAAAGCTGCTGCACCGTGTGTGTGTGTGTGTGTGTGTGTGTGTGTGTGTGTGTGTGTGTGACATACAAAGCAAAGACAAAAGTCTAAAAGATGTGATTGAGTAGTAGAAGCAGTCACGATGGACAGTTAGTTAGTCCATTTTTTTAGAGTTAGGTTAGGCTTTTTTAGGGCGGCACAGTGGTGTGTGGTTAGCACTGTCGCCTCACAGTGAGAAGGTTCTGGGTTTGAACCCTGGGCCTGGGGCCTTTTTGTGTGGAGTTTGCATGTTCTCCCTGTGCCTGCGTGGGTTCTCTGTGGGTACTCCAGAGACATGCACATTGAATTGGCGACTCTAAAGTCCCTGTGTGAATGTGCGCATGAATAGTTGTTTGTCTCTATATGTCAGTCCTGTGATAGACTGCTGACCTGCACAGGGTGTACGCCGCCCGTCACCCAATGTCAGCTGGGATTAGCTCCAGCCCCTCCGCAACCCTATAAGGATAAGTGGTATAGATAATGATGGATGGAAGTCTAATTTTATATTGTTACCAGAGTAATTACTGAGTACTCTGAGCAATGATCTTAATGAGCAGCAGTAGACTGTGAGTATAATGTAAAAGGCTTTATGTGCTGACTAAATGGTAGAACATAGAACAATATGGAAATACAGAGAGTAGCAGGATATATTTCATTTATGTCAAAATGACGTGTATTACTGCTTTTTAAGTCAGACTTGTTCCTTATAACAAGCTATACACTGACAAACTCATTTCAGGGACAGAGCAGGAAGAGACGAGAGGCAGGGAGAGAAAGAGAAGACTGAAAAAGGATGTGAGAATGGAGAAGAGCGTAAAAGGAGAAAATGAAGGAGAGAAAATTGTTTTTAACAAAGGAGAAAAAGCCCCTTCCCCCCCTCTCTCTCTTCCCACTCTGTTTTTCACCCCCCCCACTAAATCGTTCTTCTCACATTTCCTCAGTGTATATGTTCCCTCCATATAATTCCCTCCATCTCATCATCTGTAATTATTGCCTTCATCCCCTGTGTGTGTGCTTGGATGTGTGTGTGTGTGTGTGTGTGTGTGTGTGTGTGTGTGTGTGTGTGTGTCGGGCTCTCCATGTGTCATTTCTCGCCAGACACTTAATCTGCAGGAGTTCTCTCTCCCTCTCTCTCTATCTCTCACACACACACACACACACACACACACACACACACACACACACACACACACACACACACACACACACACACAGAGCTGTCAGCAGTTGTAATGGAGGTCATTGAAGGTACTGATTTCATAGTGCAGTTGTCAGCTCATAAGCTGAACTCATTTACTCAGTGTGTGTCTCTTAGTGAGACCTCCACACACACCTCCACACACTCGTCCTCAGGCCTGTACCTTGTCACATTTTGAGCTTCAGTGCCCACAGAACAGATCACAATGAGGTCAACGATCAGGGTTCACAAGTATCTGGCAGAGATGTAGCGACACAAACAGATAGGACTCGAGCGCAGACTCAAACTTCTAGATCCAAACACAGGAAGCAACTTCACTGCGAACCACGAGGAACCAGAAACAGACAAACTGACAATGAAGTGGTGACAGAGGCAGGAGTATACAGACTGAGATGATGAGCTAACTGGGTTCAGAGGTCTGTACCACAAAGAAGGATCTTAGGTTGTGGAGGTAACTTCAGGCTTAACTCTGGGGTTTCAGTCCTACCACAATGCTTCACTTGTTACCAGGGTAAATAACCGTGGTAACTGATGCTGAACTAACCTGTTCCGGATCAGATCAAATCCTGTCAACAGCCAAACTACTGACCTATCAGATACCTGGAAAAACTGAGTCATCATTCCTACAGGATCCTGACAGGGACAAAAAGGTTTATAATAATAAAGGTGTAATCCTGAGGCTCTCTGTTGTTTGCTGCCATATTATTTTTATTACAGGCGTGCAATGAATCTTGGGGTAGGTTAGACCTCTGAAAGATGCTGCTCCTGAATTGGGACACAACTGTAGTCAGGGAGAAGTGAAGAGGGGCCGAGGGGACCAGAGAGGGAGCAGCTCAGTATCCTGGAAAATATGGAAAACCTTAACCAGTGTGAGGAGTTTCCTTCTAGCTGGAAATTTAAAGAACATCATTTACATACATTCTACATTCCTGTAGCCCGCTCCACTAGAACATATGTTTGTGTGTAAATGGAACGAGCTAATTAGTTTTTCACACTAAGCTCCCCGCTTTGTTCAGCTGCACCAGCTCTGCTCACACTGTAATTTAACTAAAGTGCTGTAATCCAGACACGTGCAGAGACGTTTCATGCTGTGCAGTGTTCAAGAGAAAGCCTCTGCTGACTACTGTTACAAAATGAGACCGGCAGTCGACATGATTATTTTAAAAAAACATGTTTGTCCATTACTGTTTGAATTATTCAACCAATCACTTCAGGTGCACTTTGATCTTTTTCTTTCACTGAGGTGAGGATGTCTGTATCTGCTGAAGTCAACAGTAAAATCTGTGTAATCAAAGTGATGGTGAATCCTACATAAGTGAAAGTGTGTGTCAGTGTCATCAGTGTAAATATTAATGAATGAATTTGCTCTGAAGCCTCGTTCAGACAGAATGAACATCACTGATGGAAGTAGGGGATGAAATAGTCACTGCTCCTCAGCAATTAAACTCATCCTCAGCAGCAGCATTTTAACCACCACAAGATTACAGGATATAGTCTGTGACAGACGTGGGCATTCAGCGGGACAAAGACAAAAGACAAAAGCACAAGAGTTGAAGTGAGTGGCAAAGATATTGACTGAGGTAAATTCATATTCACTTCCTACTCAGAGTCATAACTAATCTGATATGATTCAGTGTGACTTCCACTTCCTGGGAATATTTCTTATCTCTAATGGCCTTCCAGAATAAATGTCCATAAACCTGCTTATCAATAATATCACAGTAATCCAAAGACAGCTGTCTGTGCATCCATGGCTACACTACAAACAGCAACTGCTAATAGCTGACTCAACATAGCTGATTTTTAACTTGGGCAGTTTGACTAAATGAAAACCTATGTGGACTAAATCAAATGAGGCTGAATAGAGAACAGCTTTACCAACCTTTAGCTGACTTTATGATGAGCTTCCACAGGGTCTATCTGTCCTGATGGTGTTATTTATTTCTGTTAGCATAGTTGTTTCCAAACAGGCCATGTAGATCTTAGCATGTTTCCATGGACTCCCTTCATTTTCACATAAAAGTCAAAGTTCACACTGAACTCTAAACAAGACTAGGTATAAATCTACTTGCTGTGTACTTTAAGTTTTAACTGAAGCCGCAAACCACCAGGAAACGAGGGTTGCAATCAATTGTTCCTGTTAATTCAATGGGAATGCTGATTTCCTGGATGTTTGCCATGGTTCTAAACAAAGGAGGAAAACATAAAAATATTTTGAACAACAAATCCAAAATCTGGCCTTTAAATAATAATTAAAACTTGCACATAGGAATGCCATAAATGCTACTTACATTGAAGGTGAAGCAAAAGAAACATGACAAACACCCACAGGAACTGAAACAAAGTGAAGGGAGTTTGGAGAGGTGTCTCCTTATGGAAAGGAGGGGATATAAATTTGCCGTCTAGTATCAACTGGTTTCAGTCTTGTATCAGCTGGTTTCAGTCTAGTGTCAACTGGTATCAGTCTAGTATCAGCTGGTATCAGTCTAGTGTCAGCTGGTTTCAGTCGAGTATCAGCTGGTATCAGTCTAGTGTCAGCTGGTTTCACTCTAGTGTCAGCTGGTTTCAGTCTAGTATCAGCTGGTTTCAGTCTAGTGTCAACTGGTATCAGTCTAGTATCAGCTGGTATCAGTCTAGTGTCAGCTGGTTTCAGTCTAGTATCAGCTGGTATCAGTCTAGTGTCAGCTGGTTTCAGTCTAGTGTCAGCTGCTAGTGTCAGCTGGTATCAGTCTAGTGTCAGCTGGTATCAGTCTAGCATCAGCTGGTATCAGTCTAGTGTCAGTGAAACAATCTGTGCTAATTCATTTTCAAAGAGCAGCAGCCAGTCAGTCAGTTGTGGTCATTCACATTTCTAAGGCCATCATTTCCTCACAGCCTCACTGTGATTGCAAAAAGTGGAACAACAAACAGGAAAAAAAATTCCAATTTAAAAAACAAGGACATTGCTCCGGTTGGGAATTACATCACAGCAGCCAGTTCACTGAAAAACAGGGTAACTGTAGCTGTAGTTATTACTGTGGTGGGGGTGAAAAATTACCCATTTTGCACTCTGGGCAGGATTAAAATCCCTGAGCAGAGCAGGTAATGTTAAAATCACCAAATCCAGTCTTAATGGAGCTTCAGTGTCTTCCATCTGCCTCAGTTAATAAGGAATTACTTCTGCTCAAATTATACTGTAAACCCTCCACTGTGTTCACACTAATGCTACATTTGAACTTGGCTAGCCTAGCTTAGCATAAATACTGGTTGCAAGAGGAAACTGGCACTTGCACCCCAAAAGCTCACTAATTAAAAACAACAGTATGTGGTTTTAGAGTGAGTCACAGTTAAATCTCGTTTGCCAGTTTTTACATTTTGATAAAACTTGTAAATACACGTCACCAGTAGGTTCTGTGTGAATCTGTATGAGATGTATATTTGAAGAGGATATGTGTCTGTCTGTGTGTCTCAGAGTTAGATGCTTCTTACCCTCCCTATGGCTACACTGATCTGCCTCTGGACACCATGCCGCTAGACCCTGACCTCCATGAGCCCTACATCCCTGATATGACGTACGACCCCAGACAGGCCTACCCTGAGCCGCTCTAACAGGTAAACACACACAGCACACTGTGGACATTTTCAGTTTCATTCTACTACTTTTTAATGAACATTTGGTTTCAGATGCTTCACTTTTCATATACTACTACAACTAGTAATACTACTGTCCAAACCGGCTCAGAGCCATGACAAAGAAAACAGGAGGCAACACAGGGAGTTAAAGCAATAAGCCAATTATTTATTTTTAACCAAAGTCAACTCAAAGAATCAAAAAATACTGTGAGGTGTGGGAGTCAGTCAATCAGTAGTGATAGCATGAGTGCATGAGTGAAGAGTGGTGTATGAAGTGTTGGGCGGACAAGAAACAAAAAGATAAGGAAAAGACGAGGAGCGTGGAGCATCTGGAGCAATATTTACCTCTGTGTCTTACTCATCAGGAAGAAAGTGTGGGGGGTTCAAATAGCCCTGGGAACACCGGGCCCAGGTGTATCCAATAAACTATTACCCAGAGAAGAGAAGTAAACACAAGCAAGCCTCCTGCCCAACAGCTAAAAAGGGCGGGGGCGTCACATTACTTATTATTATTATTGTAATAGCCAAGCAATGTGGTTCACATGGCAGAATATCCATTTAAATAAAGAAAGTGCTGACACACATAGAGGAATATCCTGACACATTACACAGACAAAGCAGTGGCACCTCCACAGATCCACCTGTGGGACTCCAGTCAGCTGTCTCCCCAGTGCTACTGCTGTACTACAGTAGACAAGCATCTGTTGATACTACACTAAAACGAGGAGTGGAAGCAGTGCAGCTAACTGTTGTCAGATAATAAGATTGTTGTTCAGATGGTAGCCTGATGCTTACTACCATGTGTACTGAGATGTCAAATGTTCACATAGACAGTGGAGTGTATATATGTGATATTGCTGGAGTGCTGGGTATTGTATAATCTTATGTAATGCTCTGTGGATATCTGGCAAGGCTGAGTGAGCTCAGATTAATCATTATGTTAAGTGAGTTTCAGTGATTTTCAGTAATGGTTATGGTCAAAACTCTGCAGTAATTTCATGCTGGTTCCAAGAAAATTATAGCTCTGTGGTTGAATAGACTCTTGTGTTACAGTGTAGCAGTTTATCTGAAAGTGTTAAATCAAAGGCAGCTAAAGGAAGGAGTAGATTCATGAAGAAAAAGAAAAAGAATGTTGAACTGTTCCTTAAAGGCTGATTTTTCAGTGTAAAACTTTGGGAAGTTTGTTTTCAGTCTCATTTAGCTGAGTAATGACAGCAGACTCTGAGAGTGATTCTAAATAATGATGCCTTAATGCAGATATTCTATATTTCTTATCTTTTTTCTTTTGTTGCAGGAGAATAAATTTGAAACGCTGAGAGAGAAAGAGAGAATGAGCAAATCACAGGAACAAAGACTGAGGGGATGGATGGATGATGGAGAGTGGAGGTTTTAATCAGCCCTTTCCAAGTGGAAAAAAAATCTCATTTGGCAATCAAGAACTATCAGAAGAGGTTGCTTATTTAAAAAACAAAAAAAGAAACGTTGATTGTTCCTGTAAATGGAAAAAAAAAAACAAAACAAGAAAAAAGACGTAACTTTGTTATAATGTTTTACTGTGGGGTGAGAGTCGGGGGTGTCTGAAGTTTTGAGGCATTGTTACACGGGTAACTTTTTGAAGCAATCAAAACAGGCAACGATGCCTCACACTGACAGTTTGACACATGTGGGACAAGCAGGGGGCCAAACGTTTTAGCATTTCATTGAGGTTTAGAAACAGTCTGTTGTAATATTAGTTGTGATATACAGGGATTCTCTACACCCATTTTGGTCAGTAAGAAGTTCCATTAAATTACAGTTAACTATAACCCCCAGTTCAACATTAATGACATCACTGAAAACTTGCTTGAAAACATTTGAAATAGATTTTTCTCCCCTCTTGGCGTCACTGCCAGTCACCGTTGCTACCAAATGCTACCCGTGTATCCCAGCCTGAAGCAGCTGTCTTTTAGATGTCTCCTCTGTGTATTTGAACAGTGCACATGTCCCAGGGTGTCCATGTGTGGTCATTGCATGGTAGTATATTGTGTACTCATTGAAATATTCTTCGCCTTTTACTTACTAAGAAAAAGTGACATTCGGGTTTTACAGGGCGTTTTGGATCACGCCGAACCATTTGGAAAAACTTTAGTGCAGAGCTGGACCACAGATCCCGCCATGTCCCAGCCTCATGAAACGTCCAAAGGAAACAGGAAATGGACTACAGATTCTCCTCCATCTTCGGCGTCGGACTACAAATCCATCTGTTTTCGAGTCATACCCAGTGAGACCCACACATCTCCAGTGCATATGGACCACAGCTCTCTGGTCACACCGCTGTGGGTGCCGCACTGTAGGGTAAATTTACAAAGGTAATAATGTGCTTAGACATAATGACAAACGACTTTTGTTTTAGAGCTGTGCTGATTATAGAAATCTATGGATAACTGTGTCGCTGTCAGTGGAGGGATGGGGAGCTCGCTGCTGCTCACAGCATGTGTTAAAGATTTAGTCTCTGATTGGTGTGCAGCATCTTTTTCACCTCACCATCACATCACAGTGCAGAGTCCACATGGTCTGCATGTTAGTGCAACTGCAGCTGGAACATGGACATCAAGTGCTCTGTGCACCAGCGAGGGGCAACTGTGCTCGTAGTTACACCCAACCAACTACAACAGCCATAGTCTGCACAACTACAATGACATAAGTGGCGGAATACCAGAGCTATAAATACTGAATAAATACAGTTCACATTGTCATATATAATTCCTTTGTACGTGTGCGTTCACTGTGCCACAGTAAAATTTAAACATTTGTTGAAAGGACAGGTATTTGACTTTTTGTCTTTGAGGACTAAATGATTTGTTTTTCAGGTGTGACTACATATACGTTCAGCTGTAGCTCCCTGATTTTATATAACACACTGTGTCATTGCTTCTTGGCCAACAGCCCTGCCCCAATGACAAAGTGTTCCCATTTTAAAAAATGCTCTGCTCTACCTGTACTTAGTATTTGGTATATCTATGCTGCCCTCTGCTGGACAACACTGAAATGTAACACACTTCTTGGTTTCCTGTGTGGCGATTTGATTTTAATGTGGCACACTAACAAAAAAACAAAAGACAAAAAACAATGAATTCTTATTTAAGACAAATAACTGTCATTTAACAACAATTTTCATTTAATTATGAAAGTAAATGCACACATATAAAAGAAATACAAATGACAATGTTTCCTGTATTTCTGATGTGCTGTAATGTAGGCTTTTTAAATCACAACCTGGGTTTTTTTATTTTTAAGTCTTCAGAAATTTGATCAGTATCACTGAAAATACTGTGGGCTCAATGGTGCAAGAAACCAGAGCAGTGAGGTAATGATAGTGGATAAACTGGGTTTGAGTATTCAGTTCTTTGGGCCTTTCACTGAACTCTACGCCAGTTCTAACTCACCTGTTAGCTGTAGAAAATTTACATCTGGACCCTTAACCTGAGACTTACTGGACTTAACACTGATATTGGTTTCTTCCAACAAAAGCAGCAAACTATTCATGTTTTTTTCTTTTTATACTCTTGTTTCAACTTTTATGTTTTTGCCTACAGTGATTGGCTGTTGGTTGTATCCCTATATCTACCAAATGTGGTAGTTTCGTTCTATGGAAGATTTTTGCTGTGCGTCACCAGCTGTGCCCGCCCTTACTGTTGCTCCACAAAGTGTGGCTCCTGTTGCCTGGCAACCTTGACAACACACTCTTTTTTAACAAATACTTGAGGTTTTAAAGCCCTTCAAGAGTTGTACCTTTAGCTGTTGAACTGAGCTGAACCCCAATCCATACATTTAACAGCGTAATCCTGAGGCTCTCTGCTGCCATATTATTTTCTTTACACATCAATTTTACACGTCACATTTCACATTAATCTTGGGATAGGTTGGGCCCCGAGGGACCCACCTGTTGGAGCCTTTGTTGCCCAGGAAAAAAAGGACGTATTTGAAGGAGGCTTTGAAATGAGACAGTCTTGTCACACCACTGTGACGCTGTCAGTCTTCAAATGCATCCTCTGAAGGATGCGGCCCCTGAATTGGGACACAGCTGATGCGTGTCATTTCCTTCGGCACTCTGAGGTTTGGGTCATTCCAGGATGGACAGGATGAGCAGCTTCCCATAATTTTTACTTTCAAGACAAGGAATTAGAAATATGCACCAATTGGCCCCTAAGCAGTTAGTATCCTTAATAGTCACTGAAGAATGGCTGTACTGTGTTTAACTGCATTGCACCGCTGTGTAGGACCACCCTCTTTTTAGACTAATGGCTTGAGATACTGCATTTGAACAGTACAAACAGGGACATGTCACATAAGGAAGGGAGTCTTTAGGATACAGTATTGACATTATCATAATGATCATAATGAAAGAGCTGTTTTTTTTACCCTGCGATTTGTATGACTGTGTGTTTGTGTGGCATATGAACGACAGAAGTGTTGGTGCACTCTTGAGAGAAAAAGATGAAGCCAAATAAAGGGAGAGAGAAGTTTCAGGGGAGGAAATGTGACCTATAGTGCCCCCTGCTGGTTCTGTTCATCCATAAGAAAATCCTAATCTGCATTTTTCTGCTGGTCAAACTATTTCCCATGAGCACTCAACAGCATGAACTGAGGCAGAGAAGATATGTATAATATATAGCACTGTAAAATATGAAATATGATTAAATTTTGTATCAAATCACCTTCAGAGAAATCATGACTTTATGTGACATACCCACCGACGAGCCAAAACATGACCACTCACAATCAAGTGTGTAACATCAAGGTCTAGGATTTATTCATTGGTAAGTGGACAGTTGGTTCTCATAGTCAGTGCAGATGTGAGCACCTGAGCGACTTTGACAGGGGTCCAGTTAACCGGGGTCTCCCAGTCAGTGGTCCAAGGAGGGATAAACCACGAAGCAGTGCATCATCGATGTGCAAGGACAACAAAAAGCCTGTATGGTCATTGCACCCTGCTGCATATGCGGCTGTGTCCGGTCAGAGTGCCAATGCTGGTCATGATGTTCTGGCTCATCAGTGTATATGACACTGTAGGTTCCACTGGGGGGCAAGATGCTGACTTTCCTCACCTGTAGAGGTGGAAAAGAAGAGGATGTGATGGTGGAAGGAGAAAGTAAGGAGAAGTAAGGAACAGGAAGCAGAGGGAATGATAGATGCCAAAGAGATTTATCATGTGTTGATAATCATTTCAAGCCTGCTGGTTGTCTCGTGTAGCAGGAAGTGGAGTGTTCCAGACACAGACTGGAAAGACTGGTGCACAAAGAGCTGAAGGGACAAAGGCTCAGGTTAATATAATAGAAGAGCGAACCGGATGTGAAACGAAAAGTGCAGCCCAGAATTATTTTAACTATCCAGTCACTCTTAAGCCCCATTTACTCCTGGTATTAACATGTTAACATTCAATCCATAGGTCTTTGTGTTTACACTGGTATTAATGGCATGTCAATATGAACATTAGTGATGCAGTTCTGGCTGACTTGCTAGCTAACATTACTGCTTCTACCTGGAACTTTAACCAGGCTTACTTTAGCTACCAGGAAAAGGTGGAGTTAGGTGACCTTTCAACTTGCTGGGTGTTTTTTTTTTTTCTTCTGAATGTGGTCACGCTGATCAGGTTGTAGTTACAGCTGCTGAGATCTGATCACAGTGCAACCATACCACCTCCAGATGTGGTTTTACATGCATTTGCACATAAACATATGTTTTTCCTTACCTACATCAGAGGTCTCCAACCCCCAGGTCATGGACCGGTACTGGGCCGTGGCATCTTCGGTACCGGGCCTCAGAAAAAGGACAAATTAATCAATTTTCTTTTTTTGTTTGGTAAAATACAACTTGGCTGTTTCGGGCTGCCACGATTAGTCGCCATGTGGCCGGTCACTATTAACCACCATATATTTATTTTCTACTTATCATTTATGGTTGCACTGCTTCTCTGTCCTCTGCTGTCTCGCGAGGCGGGGCTGCACTCAGTACATCCGAGCACACACATACACACACATGCACACACACACACACACACACACACACACACACACACACACACATTGAGCGAACAGCAGAGCAGAGGCTGTGCTGGACACAGAACCAGGTGATGTAAAGATAACTCGAGATTACTGAGTTGACACAATTAGCCTATGACTGAACTTTACTGTAAGTGCAATAAAAAGTAAAAGGTCAATAAGAACTTTATCAAACCACCTGTTCAACAAGCAAGAAACAGTAAAGAAATATTTTCATGTAATTGTCCACTGTCTCCCGGCCCCTTTACACACAGCAGGGTTAGGGTTAGTGAATTATTGTTAGAAATCTGTCTTTCCAAAACCGGTCCATGGTGAAAAAAAGTACGGAGACAGCTGACCTAGATCATGTATC